GCCCCCCACAACATTCCTGCTCTGGGTAGGCCACCACACAAAGACCAGGAGTCTCAGAGCCGCATCCAACCTGACCTTGAATGTTTCCAAGGATGGGGCATTCACCACCTCTTTGGGCAACCTATGTAAGCGTCTCACCACCCTTATCTTTTCCTTTTATCTTGTCTGAATCTAGCCTCTCCTATTTTGAAACCATTGCCCCTTGTCCTGTCACAACAGGCTCTGCTAAAAAGTCTATCCCCCTCCATGCCTGGTTGCAAGGCACAGCAGAGAGATGGCAGGTGCCCCTCCATTCTTCAGACCACTTTCCTTTACCATATCCAAATCCCTGGATCTCTAGGGAAACCAGCCAGTGCCAGAGAAACAATGATAAATTCTTTCAGTGTTATAATGCTGACCAAGGTGACCTTCTCTCCACTGACAGGGGTACTGACAGGGGTGAAGCCCCTGGGTGGGAGCAGAGGCAGACTGTCGCTATAGGACACGAGAAAGCACAACACGAGCCACTGCGATGGCAAGGTAAAAAAGAAGGTTTATTTTCTGACTCTAACTTTTATACTTTTCCAAAGGTGACAGTGGATTGGAGAGTGAATGGGCCACCTCTCCGAAGACATTGGACAAACCACCAGTACATCAACTTCCTCCACCCCTACGAAGGAATGCAAAACAATGTGTTGTTTATAGAAAATGTGGGGGAAAGTTTTCTAACAGAATGTAAACTCAGAAGGCTTTAGAAAATCTTAAGAATCAGGGCGACAGCAGACTGCAAACTTTGGGTTCCTGGCAGTGAGAAAGTGGCAACAGGCCCTTAAAGAGCAGACAGATGCTGCTGTAGCGCTGAATGCAGTCTCCACACTGTCATCTAGTGGATTTAGTGGTGATAGCCACAGCTCAGTTTAATACTACACTGTAATTTCATTGAACATAACTGCAGCTTAAACTTTTTTTTCTCTATACACTTTCTGCCTTTTCTCATCCAGTTCTTCTGGGATTTCTCCTTTCTGAATTCTTCTTTCACAATAATTTTATTCTCATACTTTTAAACCTTTAATACAACAATGCCTTTTTCTTTGGGTTACTGTAATTCCCAGGCAGGCTATTTCCCCAGTGCTAGCCAGTAACTGCAGAATGTATTTCCCTTTCTTTTAGGAGACTCTTCCTTAAATTATGGTAGAAATATGTTTCTTGTGTGTGCAGAGCAGAATAAATGCCCTTAAGAAATTTATTATGAGTAATCTAAGTGCCCTCTGATACTCCTCCAGGCTTCAAAGACAGCTCTACAGGCTGAACACACTGGTTCTCTGTAGCCACACAGTGCCTCTGCCTCTCCAGGCTCCAGCCCCACAGCTTGCAAGCTCTGAGAAATTGCCAGATAAATTCAAGTACTACAAACACAAGGAAAACACAATTATGTCAGTTATGTTTGCCTAAACCTAACAAGTATGGAACTACGATAAACCTAGCAGTATGCAGGTATGGTAAATATTAGCAAAGTGGAGCATAACAAGCACCCCAAAATCCTGAGTTGTCCCAGTTTGAGAGGGTCTGCACGATGCAGCTGTTGGGCCCATGTTCATGACAGGTGTCCCCGTGTGTCAAGGTGGCATGGAGGTCTTTGTCTTTGTAGCTGTGGATTCCCAGACAGTGGGATTTTTAATGCTGATCCTTATTTTGCAAAGCCTACCTCTTGGTATTTGATTTTCCCTTTCATCTTCTAGGTTGTAGTGACCTGTGACCTTCTGTACTTGCTCTTTTATGGAGCCAGATTGCTCCTCATTCCCAGGGAGTCAGCTCTGTCCCAGAGGCAGCCCCCCACTCCATCCACATTCCACAGCTGCCTTCCTGAGGACTCAGCTCCCCAGGCACACCCAGAGACAACTGATCCCTTCTCCCTCCCTCTGCAGCTGGTTCGAGCACTGGGATTTTGCAACATCAACCCTATATGGCCTCACCAGATGTTAAATCAGCAATTAGCTAAATATATTATTTCCAGGTCAGCAATTCTCTCACCATTTTGCAGTTTTAGTAAGTCTGTGATTTGACCAGTCTCAGTCCTACAGAAGAAATGCTAAATATGTTTGTGCTGCTTTGCAATTTTGTCACCAGCCCATCTCAGCTCAACGGTCCCTCTTCTGTGACCCTCCACTGCCTGCAGCTTCTCTTACAAAAACTCAGTGAGAAGGGAAAAGGATTTGTCAGAAGTTGTAAACAAAGGATATGAGGCTATTGACATGCAGCAGAAAGGAGAAATGCAATTTTAAACTTTCAGTCTAACAGTTTACAAACCCCGCTCCAGACCAGCTTTTCTTTTCTCTTATCTGTGCTTCTGCACTCATACCAGAGGCTCTACCAAAAACCTATTGGATGAGTTATTTTTAATAAAAAATTTCAGTTTAATAATCATTTTAATGAGCCTCTAGGGAAAAAAAAAAAAAAAAAAAAAAGGAGAGGTATCTTCCACAGGCCACAGTATTGATCTACCAGGGAAAGAAACCCATTCCCACATACATGGCTGACACCTAAATAACAGCTGGGAGTGCAGGAATCAAGTCAACCTTCTCTAGAGAAACCTGGATTGGCTTCTTCTGCAATAATTTTCAAGAATTTTGATTCAAATTATGATAAGCAAGTGAAGAAGGACATGACATAAAAAGGACAAAGAATTAGGAGCTAACAACAACTGCCAGAAATCAAGTCTCTGTTAGACCTTCCTAATAGGCAGCCACTCTCTTGGAAATGACAGTTAATCCACCCTGTCACCAAGCTTTTAACAGAAACCTGTCCCTGTTGAAAGAGCCACTGGAGTAACAGAAGTCAGGAGAGAAGAACATTAACTTCAGAACAGAATTCTCCTTCTGTATCTTATCATGGACACACAGATTAAGTCTCCCAAGTAAGGCAAGTAGATATACTTACTTTGGTACTTGTGCTTAAGGTCATTTTTTGGGGGAAGCAGCATGAGACCCTGTTCTGCCTTCACCACTGAGAGCTCTCCAAATAGGCTTGAATTGTTTTACTCCCACCAGGCAGAGCATTGTGCTATACAGTGAAACTTGCCTCAGGGAATTTAACTTAATTAATTTCCAATTATTAAAAACATCTGAGTAGTGATTTGGGTTTTTCTTAAAAAACAAAAACAAATATTTATGCACAGGTGCTCTTTTTCTCTTCCATTCCAGGCCCAGCTTCACTCCATCACCCCAGGCACCCCTCCTCCCCCTCTTGCAATCACTGCAGGGTGCAATACACTCAGTTCTTTCATTGAGGCAATGGGCAGAGAGGGGCTATGAAAAAACACCAGGGATTTCTTCTGCTGGAATCCCAGGAAGACCTCTAACCAGCTCCATATAGAAAACAACATCTGCAGGTAAAGCATCCATGTCTAGTCCTCATTAACTGCATTTGGCCCTTCTCCTGTTCCCAAAACACAGAACAATGGAGTGAGTGAGGCTCTCGTCAAAACACTGCCAAACAGCTCTCTGCAGTTTCTTACCTCCCTTGCCACACAGCCTCCCAGGAGTACAGAACAGCTGAAAGCCCCTTGCACTAACCCAGAAGAGTGCCTCTGTCACAGGCAGCAGTGTGGCTTCTCATCTTACTGCACTTTCTAATCCCTGAGAGCCTTTCTTTACACTGTGTATTGGAAACTTACCATCACAGTACTAAATGAGTCCAAGTCCACTAAATCAGTGAAGTTTACAGAGCCATTAAACCCTAAGAACTTAGCGAGTATTGAATAGTCACCTCCAAATAATAAACATGTCCATTTTGTCCTGTGCTCTCTTTCCATACTCTTTCTATAAAAAGCATATTTTTTATCATAACATTTTAAAATTTAAGGTTTAGGGACTCATGCATTTTGTCTGTAGCTGTTTAAGGGCTTTTCAGGGATGAAATTTGCATAGGATGTACTTGCACATCAGAACATGTTCAACCATAGCTAGCTGCATGAGATGAAGAGCAGAAATGCTGAGATGCAGCAGCAGGCTCCCCTATGGCAAGTTTTTCTTGTTGGCTCTTGTGACTGCCCATTTATCTTGTAGTTGCTGGAGATGCCCACAGGTGAAACAGGCAGTGCTAGAGGCAGTTGTACCTGCTCTGTATCAGTCTGTCAAGCCAGCATGACCACGGCAAGGTCTGCTGTTTACATGTGACATTTATTCTCATATCCACAGTGCTCATTCTGTGGAGCAGATGGTCTCTAGGCTTTTCTCTGTAGGTGCTCCTTGCAGCCTAAACTGCTCCTTACAGATGTTTTCCTTCCAGCAGCTGTCTGAATGGATAGGGCCAAGTTATGAGCCACAGCAATTTACCAGAGAGATTCCAATATCAGGAAAAAGTCTATCCCAAAGATCCCATCCATACCAAATCAGTGTAGGCACAAATCACCATGTAAACATTGTCAGAATCAAGATGCACTTCTTGGTATAAGGGAGGAAGAAGACACAGCTGCATCCACTGGGACTCAAAACTGACGTTCTTGATTATTGGATGCACAAGATCAGTGAGAAGACCTCTCCAAATATTTAGAACATAAACATCATGGGTCAATGAATAATTCCTATTGAATAATTTTCTATTGAAAAGAATTCTCTCAAGCATTTATGTCAGCTTCATGTATCATTGTGCAGAACAAAACTCAGAATCAATTCCTGACAGGAATTCTGTGTTGTTTGTACTGGGTACACTTAAGGCTGCAGTAAATCTTCCTTCATGCAGGCAGTATAATACACATAACTAAACTCTCAAGAAAATGAAAAACCTTTTCAGAGTTGACATTATTACAAAATCCTCTAGTGGCAATATTCCCCACAGACTATGAGTTTGGCATGCAGAAAGAGAAAGAAACTAATAAACTTGCAACTATCTCCTTTTAACAAGGAAGATCCATCACTTATTTTAAAGCTGCATTTCCTCTACAGGAATATCATCAATGACTATTTAACTAACTGCAATAAGCACAACTTCATATTTTTAGGAGAAAAAAAAAAAAGACAAGGTGTAGTCCTCAAAAGTTTATTTCAAGTATAAAAATTGTTCAGTAACGTATCTACAAGTTTTTTGTTCAGCATAAAGGTTTAATAAGATAGAAAGAATCAAGTACCAAATCTCTGTAAAAATACTATTTGATTTTAAATTTTGAATAACAGTGAAAAGGCACTTAAACAAAAGATAACCAATGACAAACACAACTGTTATGTCACAGTGAATGTGTAAGCAAACATTATCTAACACTTTATAAAAAAACAATGAAATTAATTACAGTCTAGCTGAACTCAACAGCATAATTCAGACAAGAGTGAATTCGAACTCCCAGCACTTCAACAACAGAAGTGCAAAGAAAAAAAGAAAGAAAAGCACGGGAAGTCTTCAGTAAACTAACAGTCTGCAGCACTGTGTTCAAACTAAGAACTCAGAGTTCAGTCCATACAAGCTCCACAAAAACAAATGCAACGAAACTGGGTAGCAGCATAAATACTTTATAAATGCCCCTGATCTGTACGCTTGCATTGAGGGGTTTCTATTTCTATTCCCAGTTTAGGAAAAAAAAGTTTCTACAAAAACAGAAAGCCTTGCTAAGAAGCAAAACCATCAGGCTGCTGTAAGTGGGAAACAGAAGTGTAATGCTTGGGAATCCACTGCAGTCCCTTTGCAGCAGAAATATTTTTCCACTGCCGGCAATGGAAAGTAATCAGAAGTTTTTGAGAATCAGGAAAGAAAACGGGCTATGACAGTTTAAATGAGTTTGTTATTTTTTTGGTCAAGATTCAATGAGCTACTCTATCTTAAAAAAAAAAACAGAATCAAAAATGCCAAAAGAAACAATATGTTTAAATCACCATTTACAGCACCAAAGAATATTTGGACAATAAATACAGAATAAGATGGCAATTATTCACAAATATGAGGAATTAGGGAAGGAAATTTTCAACACCCACCAGAAAACTGTGGGCTTTTACAATTATTCAGCAACATGAAGTAAACAGAAAAAAAATCATCTTAGTGTTGGCATTTTTTTCTCAGTGATAGTAAGACCTTTGATACAGGAGTGGTATCAAGACTTTTGCATCTTTTTTTCCAGATACATTTTCCTGTAGGTCTGAAACATCTCTTTTGAGTCTTTGACAGGAATGTGAAGAGTCTCTCCATCTCCTTCCAGGATCTGTATAGCTGTATCAAGGGGAATACTCTCCTCAGCTGCAAGACAGACAAGCATGTTAAAGCAAGAGTCTCAAAGGACTCTACTCCTTATGCAAGTGGTACCTTAGACCTTCCAGTGTCAAAAAGGATGCCACAAACTTCCTTCCTAAAGCACCAGGCACTCCAGACTTAAAACAATCTCCAATGCATCTTTAAGTACAAAATGCCTATTTGGGTGTCTTCACAGGAGAGATTTCTGGAGAGTATTAAGAAAGGTATGAAAGAAAACATGCATTTGTGAAAGGAAGAGAAGAAGCAAAAGAGAAAGATCTAAAATGATGGCAGACCAAAGCCCAAGGACACAGGCAAACAGCAACAAAAGATGCAAAGGCTGCAAACTATGTTAATTGCAACACCACAACACAAGTGCCACCATGCAAGCCCTCTGTTCTAAAGAAGCAGATAGCAACAAGGCTACAGAATGCATTTTGTTTCCTGTTAGACCACTAGAAGAACAAAACTAGAGCTAGAGAGGTACCTAAAGCAAAGAAACAAGGACAGCTGGGAGTAACCTCACCCAAGATTTACAAAAGATGGAACAAACAAGATCCTGAGATGGAAGTTGCCACTGTTGTGACAGTTGATTCCTAGAGGGTATAAAAGACCATCCAAAAAGCAATTTTCCATTCAAGAGAAATGAGGAAGATGTAATAGTGGCCCCACTTTTCCTCTGGGTGTCATACAGATTATCTTGTCCAGACTATTGGGACACACAGGTCCTGGAACTTATGAGCACAGGTGTTATATGTGGACAGCAGCAATGTACTGTGAAAGCCAGATTTATTTTAAAAATCACTTTCTGTTTTTGCACTAGATTCTGCTACATCACTTTCTATATTTTAAAGCATGAAAGAGTCTTTATACACAATTTAAAACTGTATTTAAATGCTATTACTAGTGCTACATGCAAGTTAATGGCACAGGAAAATTTCAACATTTTCAACAACATATTCATAAAGCAATAAAAAGCTATACAAATCTTTGAGACTTGTAAGTCTATTCTGTGGTATCCATTTAATCAGGAGAATGAGTAAATAATATTTTTAAATACTTTATTAAGGTTTACTACTGTAAAGGAACATCTAAAACCAAGCAAAGAGGATTTAACTTGCATTTCAAATGGGACATTCAGAAGTCACTTCACCTGTAGAGACCTCTTCCAGTTTCTTTTGCTTCACTGGTTCACATTTTAACCAATCTTCTTTTTTACTCTTGACACCTAAAAATAAATTTTCAAAAAATGTTTCTGAGGTTCCTTTATCACAAGTTTTGGCCTCTATTCAGCATTAAATTCTAACACATATACTAGCACACACAAAAGGAAATTTCCTTTGGGTATGAAAATTACTCCAAGGGCTGATATATACAGCTTAAGAAAAATAAAATAGAACATTAGACATAAATATGCTTCAGAATGCATCATGTAAAATGTTGAAAAATGGGGTAGGGAAGAAGAGAAGGAAAAATGGATGCTGAAAGCAAAGATGGCAAAGATTATAGTTACTATGGGCAGGGGTATGTCTGGCCTAAGCCTACTCTACTCCTCAATGCCACAGAAGATCTCTCCCTCCTCTGCCCAGCCTGACTATGTACAACCAGGTGAACAGTGAATACAGATCAGATCACCTTTGGTAACTACACCAAGGGAATCTGCTTTCTACAACCAAGCCAAGCTAACTTCTACAAGTACTGCAGAAAGCCTTCTCCCAAAGTTACTTGAAACTGCCATGCTCTAAAGAATTCCAATTTCATTCTCTAAGAATTACAGAAAATTGAAGGAAAACTCCCATGTTCTTTTTCAGCTGAAGATACAGCTATGGTCTGTCAGAGAGCAAGTTAAGAGATCTCAGCCTTCAGCCTCTACAGTCCCATGTTTTCACTGTATGTAGTTTTATGCAACATGAATTTAAACATGAATGCATAGTTTTTACTTACAAATGAATATTTAAGAGACCATCATACCTTCTACAACGACTTTATCTCTTTCTGGAGAATTCTCTGCAGCTAAGCTTTCTTCACCAGGGGCTGGATTTCTGAACAGTATCTCTGGACACAGCTTGAACTCAAGGATTTCCTGTTTGCATGATTTCTCAACTGTCGAGACAGACACATCTTTTTTTGAGTTGCTGTTTTGTGACACTTTGGTGGTTCTATGCCAGACAGATCTGACAGGTGATGTCTCTAATTTTGTCAGAGAGATGCGCTCCTGTGCTGTACGTTTAAATGCCACTCTGTTCAGGTAGTGTTTCTTGGGTTCCTTTTGAAGATGCAGCTTTAGTCTGTTATTTCTTCTGTTTAGGTACAGAAGATTTTTATCAGGAAACATTTTCTCAGAGCTCTTGTCTTTGTTTTGACCATCGAGATGTCTTTCTTTGCTAGAGAAGAAGTTTTTAGAAATGCTAGAAGACCGAGCCCTTTTTCTCTGCAGTTTACGCACAGAGCAATCTGCTAAGGAACTCCTTGGTTTCCAACCATTTTCTCCATTCAGTTTTTTAGCTTTGTCAGCATTTAGCAAGCAATTATGTGCAAGCTGCTTAGAACTCTTTCCTTCGGATTGTTTCAGTCTTTCCTCTTCCAGCTTTGCTTTCTTAAATTCTCTCTTCCCAGCCACATTTTCTTTTATCTTCCGTTTGAATGGCTGCTCCTGCAAAGTATGAACTTTCACAGATTTATGCTGAGAATATTTTATGTGTCTTGATTTGAAGTCTACAGTGCCACTATCTGAGAATTTTACAGCATCAGCTTGGTAACTACTCAATTTTGTATGTTTTATTTCTGGTGGTAATTTCACTTGCTCTTTGACAGTAATTCCTACGTCTTGCTTAAGCACCTCCTTTTGTTCCTTACAGTTTTGTTCTTCAGCTGAGTTCTCTTCACAAGTTTTAATTTTTTCTCCTTGATTGACTTCAGAGCGCTTAATTTCAACTCTTTCTGACTTCACAGATTGGTGAATGTCTGTTTTGGATTTCATGGTCAAACCTGGTTTGGTTGTATCTTTTGAAAGGGACTCAGTTTTGAAAACTCTCTCCTTCTTTATGGACAACTTTGCCATGTTGTCTGCATATGTATGATCAGTTTTTGCTGGTAACTCTTGGGAGGCTGTCTGGCGCTCTTTTTTGAAAGAATTAATTTCTTTACTTGACACTTGGGTTCCTTTGTCAATTTGCAGACATTCCTTCGAACTGCTGCTTATGTATTTATCAGCATCCTGGTTTTCAAAAGAATTAACTCGTCCAGCTTTTTCCTGCTGTGTTGTAGGCAGTTTGTTTTCATTATCCACCTTCAGCTTAGGTTTTTTGTTCATTTCAGAAGTGTATTTGCAAATATCTTTATTTTTGCTAATACTGTCTGGGATTTTTTCAGATATTGTCATGTGTCCCACTGCACAGTTTTCCTTTTTCAAGGTATCAGATTGATGGTTGTTTTCTTCTGTCTCTGCAGAGTTGGTATTTTCAGCTTTTGAAAGCTGACAATCATTTTTCTCTGAACCAGATGTTTCTAATAGAGAGGGACAATGTGGTGTTTTACAAGCTACAGATACACCACCCACTGAAGAGCGATCTTCACTTTTTTCACTGGGGTTAGAAGTTTCTTGTGGGGCTTTTTCCTTCTCACATAGATCCTGACTAGGCTGGACACTGCCTTCAAGGTTATCCTTGTCAGCTGAAGCCTTTTCTAACTGTTGACTCACTTCTCTCCTGCTGTCACTAGAGGGACACTGGTTGTGCCCAGGAGACAATTCTTGAACCTGATCCGATCTTAATGCTGCAATTTTAGTCTGATTTACTGGGTCCTTCAAATGAGAATTCTTGTCACAAATTTTAACCTCTTTTTGAGACTGGTTGTGCCCAGGAGACAATTCTTGAACCTGATCCGATCTTAATGCTGCAATTTTAGTCTGATTTACTGGGTCCTTCAAATGAGAATTCTTGTCACAAATTTTAACCTCTTTTTGAGACTGATTCTCTGTCCCTTCAGCCACTGAACGATTTTGTGCTGCTTCCTTTGTTAGCATATCAGCACCTTCAATGCCATATGGAAACTCTTTCACTAGAGCGAGCAGCTGATCTTTCAGATACTTACTAGGTTGTGCTCTAAAAAAGTTCACCTCGTTTTCTGTGCTATTTTTACTGGGCATGGAATTTTGTTTACTGTGATCTCCTGGAACAGCAGGTGCATTTGTTTTAGCAGTTATGCTGCTAGAGGAATCCAGTGAATTTTGAGCTAACTTCTGATTTATATTAGCAAGACTTTTTAAGGAATTTTCAGGATGCTTGAAAGATGCCTTGAATGACGTGTTTTGTTCAGAGGTAGAAACTGCTTTAAGAGGCTTGCCACTGCTTTCATTCTCCAAATGACTTGATGATTCTTCCAACATCTTTAGCAGCAAGCTCTCTCTTTGGGCAGTGTTATTGCTCAGCTCAGTTTTATTCAAGTCCATATTTTGTTCCTTTTGCCTTGCATCAGACTCGTTTCCTTCTGATGCCTGTGCCTGTGTTTCATAAATTGACTTGAACATGCCTGCTATTTGTGGGTTATAAAATTTATCACCTTCAACAAGAGAGCATACACTAGAGATACAAAACATGTCATTTTCCAGCACAGCTGTGGATGTATCTCCTGCCTCTAACACAGCTTGCTTGTCTTCACCTTCTTGAGAGATTTGACTACAAAAATTTATGCCTGATTCAGGAAGAGAAGCCTTGTTTTGTAATCCAATCTGCAGATTTTTTCTTACATCTTGTGCAGATTGACTAACTTTCCTTTGGTTTTCATCACCTACTTTGATTTGTTGCAAATCTGAGTCCACTTTTTCTTCCAGAACACAATCACTGGGTGATGACCAAGTATTTTCTATTGTTCCTTTAGCAGTATTTGCGACACTTAAACCATTTTCCCCCTCTTCTTGCAAGCTACACGTGCTCCCTGAGTTGCTCACTGCATAGGTTTTACCTTCAGGTGTTGAGATCTTGCCTGCCTGCTCACTTAGTGTTTTTTGTTCACAAAGTACTAAAGGAGAGACAACTGCAACTTGAGGTTCAAAATTTTTTATCAAATTGGAAGTCAGTGTATCAAGTTTTTGTCCCACAGAGGTAGTCGTTACAGGCAAAACAGCCTCATCCATGCTAGCCAGAGCATCTTTTTTTTCTCCCTTCTTTGTGCTTTGATTGGAGGGCAAAACCTGATTTGCTGTGGGGCTTTCATTTGAGTGTTTATTTTCCACACTTACAGATGCTGGCGGATATTTCCCCCACAAGCGCAGGCATGCAACCAGCTCTTCCATAGAGTAACTAGAGTTGCTCTGACTACAGGATGCATTTTCAGTAAACAGCGTTGTTTTCTGAGCTACCTCAGTCTGCAATTGAGCATCACCAGATGCAGTTGTTTCTGATGCAGGAGACTTTGTGTGAGCCACAGATGCCTGCTCACCTTTCAAACTTTCTACATTCTTCTCACTAGTGTCTTTCAGCAAGCTTCCACCTGAGACAGATGTATCGAGCAGTGGTTTTTCACTGCACAGGAGATCCGTCAATATTTTATCAGCAGTAGCACCAGCTGTCTTCTCTTTCAGCACATTTGTGCTGCTCAATACGAACTGAAGAAAAGATGAGTTCTCAGGGCCAATTTGCAGAGTCTTTGATGCAGTCTTGACAGAGCTCCCTGCTTGAGTAAAACACGAAGCATTGCTTGAGGAAGTCACAGTTCCTTGAGAAGAGGCCAAGGCATGCACATCCCTTTGCTCCACAGTGCTCTCAGGATTATTAAATTGAGCTGGGACTTTGCTCTGAGAGGGAACAGGAGTGAAGCTTGATGAAAGACTTCCCTGCTTCACCTGAGGGTTACTTTGAGTCACCTCCAATCTTCTGTTATCAGCACTGGCAAGGTTTTTGTCATTTCTTTCTTCATGTGAAACCAGGAGTGTGGGCCTCTCTGTCCTCACTGGTTCAGATGGGGAAGGTTGTACATTTTGTTTGGACACACATGGAAGACAATTAGAAGGAGAACACGGATAACTAGGAGGAGGAGGAAGAGGAAGAGCATTTTTTTCATTATAGATTTTTTTTTTATAATTATGAACCGTTTCAAGCAGGACAACCCTTTTTTTAAGACATTTCAGCTTTTCAGCCTCCCAAGCTAGTCTCTCCTTTGTAATTCCTGCTCCATGTGTTGCTGCCGCTGAAGAAATCTGAGCATTAACAGGCCCATTCATCAAACTACTAGTCTGGCTCTCTGGAACTGAAGCAGGATCACTCAGTGGCTTTGAAGAAAGAGCTTCTATTTCTTTCACAACATCAAGCAGCTCTTTGGGAATGCCAGGGGATGACACAGAACTTTCACTGAAAGACCGATTTGCTGTCACACTTCCACTTGGATTACAGACATTCCTGACAGATTGACTGACTTCTACAGGTTGCTGCTTCTGACAGTGTTGTTGAATACTGTTAAACCCAGGAGCATTTTTTGGGTCCAGTGAGCACCTCTGCTGGTTAATGCTGTATCCATTAGGTACATTTTGCATTTCCTGTGGTACACCCATTGAAGATTGTGGAGCAGGTCTTGAAACACAGTTGGCAGGCAACAAAGATGGTGCAGAACATCCTCTAAGAACTTCTGCTCCTAAAGCAGGTCCTGTCTGACTCTGCTGAAATTGTGGCATCTGTACGTTTGTCCCAGTATTTTGATTCACTGGATACAAAACTTTACACTGATTATTGGAATTAAATATTGGGGGTTGGACATGTTGCCCAGAAGTACCAAGAGGAAAGGAATTATTCTGGTGATGAATGCCACCTTGATGTAGTGTTCCAAGTCTCAGAGAATTATGCTGCAGCATTTCTGGCTGCACGGCGTAAGCGTTGGTATTGGTGTACTGAGGCTCCCCAAGCACGTTCCTTACATTATTTCCTGTGTTCATTTGAGAGGACAGCGGGGGTACATTTCTGCAGGGATAACTGTAGGGATTAGAGACTGGCCAAGAAGTCGGAGTCATTTCTGGCCGCAAAGGTGAATTCTGAATGGGAGGTTTTAGAGATGTTATGTACATCTGTTGATGTCTTTTAACTGAGTATTTTGACATAAAAAAATTATTACCAGTTACAGATGCTCCTGGTGAGATTTGATCTGAAGTTTTGAATCCTTCAGCATTTACAGCAGGGAAGGCAACATTGATAGTTGGCATATACACGATTTGGTTATTTTCAGCATGAGTGCATGCATTTTTAGACGGGTTGGCATTTGCCTGAGGAAAGGCATGTCCATTAGGAGGTAACTGAGTGAAACATGCTCCTTCACTTTGCAGGTTTGTATTTGCATCAATATTCTGGACTGGCCTTACATTCCAGTCCATCTTTTCTTGTTTTCTGTTTCTTCAGGCAAAACCAAAATGCTAAAAAAAAATTTACAAAAATTACAACCTTTTGATCAAGACCTATTTTACTTACTAAGAAGTGATTTAGAATGCATCATGAACAGAACTGTTGAACGTAAATTGCTGGGTAGGAGAGCATCCCCACTAGCACAACCCATGGACATCAATACTGTCAATGTCAAGTTGCATTAATTGTTTCCCAGAACACAGTTAAAGTATAAAAAAAAAAGCAACTAACAACTTTATTGACTATCTAATGACTTACAAAACCTTCACATTATTCTGCTATTTCTATCAGCCTTTTAATTTAACAATAGATTGCTGTTATTTACCATTTTCATCCAAAAACAATGGAAAGAAAATCCCAAGGCATGTGTATAACATGACACAATAAACAATACTTAAGGGCTGAACATAAGAAACACCAACAGAATAAAATATAGGCCAGGGTTTTCAGACAATAAGACTCAATTTCAATTTCACCTTTAAATACAACAACATAAATGGAAAAAATAATTTCAGTTTAGTAAAAATCTCTCACAATAGTGTGGCCCACTAGTTTAATTTTGAGAAGTATGACTGTGCCTCTAGTGAGCTACAAGCAAAGAGCCCCTAATTCTGTTGGTAGCATTAACTTAGCTGGGAGAAGGAATGAACCATGATGACGACAGCAACACTTCTACTACTGCAGTACTTACACCTTCAGGAGCTGACAAAGTCACATATCTCTAAGTCTTCGTGTGTTAGATTCCAGAATGCACATGGATTACCAGCTGTAGGACGTGGGGCTGTAATTATCCAAGTGGTAAAGGCTTGTGGTCCCCAGCAGGCCCTGCAGGACAGGCACAGCTGCAGCAGCGATGGCTGGAAGCCAGGGCAGTGGGGAGAGGAATCAGGAGCCAGCAGGGACGCAGGGAATGGCAGTCGGGAGCGAGACTGTGATTGGCTGGGGGGGCACGTGCCCAGCATAGGAACAGGAAGCTGATTAGCTGAAGGAACGCATGGACAGCATATGAGCAGGAAGCTGATTGGATGGTAGAACACATGGAGAGCACATGGCAGCTGAGCCAGCCAATGGGTGCCTTCTTTCTGTTAAATTCTGTTAGGTGTCGGTTGGGTTTCAGTTATGTCAGGTAGAGACTAAAGGTATAAAAAGGATGCGATTTCTGCAATGAACTGATCTCCTTCAGCTGCATAAGGGAGCCTGTATCACTTTATTAAAGGTATAAAAAGGGTGTGATTTCTGCAATGAACTGATCTCCTTCAGCTGCATAAGGGAGCCTGTATCACTTTATTAAAGGTATAAAAAGGATGCGATTTCTGCAATGAACTGATCTCCTTCAGCTGCATTAAGGGAGCCTGTATCACTTTATTGTATAAAAAGGGTGTGATTTCTACAATGAACTGATCTCCTTCAGCTGCATAAGGGAGCCTGTATCACTTTATTGTATAAAAAGGGTGTGATCTCTGCAATGAACTGATCTCCTTCAGCTGCATAAGGGAGCTTGTATCACTTTATTGTATAAAAAGGGTGTGATTTCTACAATTAACTGATCTCCTTCAGCTGCATTGCTACAAATGGCTGGCCCAAACTGGGACCTATAAGGTGGTGCAGGGTGTGCAGTCTGCTCCAGTTGCAACTCCCACTAGGTCAAGGAACCAGCCAGGAAGAGTCCGGAAAGGGATTCAGGGAAGGATCCGAGAAGAGTTCAGGAAGGAACTCAGGAATATAAAAGTGCGCCCACCTCACCTGGATGGTGAATAGACCAGTGGGAGCAAATATGGGAGGTGGAATATCCCTGGAACAAAGCAGAAGTGTGGGCCAGGTACAGTGGCTCCTACATCAGCAATCTGTTATTATGGCTGATGTGAAACTAAGCACCCTGCTGGACTGGGTGTCTAACCGTGTTAAAGATTTTCCCTTTAATGGACCCTTTCAATCAGAAACCTGGCAAGCAGTAGGACAGAGACTTCTCACTACCTGGGGGACAATCATGGCAGCCATTAAAGGAAGTCACACGAGTGTCAGCCACTATGCAGCTTTGGAAGCTGATTCCACTGAACCCTCAGCACCACCATAACCTGTACATGACCCCAAGATTGACCCAAACCCTGCAGAATTGCCTTATCCCAAGATTAACCCAAGCCCTGCAGAACTGCCTTACCCTGATAAAAATCCCTGCATGGCTGGCCCCCTCAGTGTGGAATTTCCACATCACGAGGGGGCAGCGGGCTCGCTCCCTGCCCAAAATGGTGACACAGTAGTCTAACAATGGCAAAAATGCCAGGAAGCCACCATGAAGGAGGATGAATTGGCAGTCACTACAGCCTGCCCAGTAATATATGTGCCAAACCAGCACCCAGCATACTGAGAGCTAGACTATAAAGTAATTAAAGAACTGGGGACACTAGTAAAGCAAAGTGGCTTATCCTCCCATCACACCCTAAGTTACCTAGAATCCATCAGTACCGCATACATCCTCACTCCCCACGACTGGAAAAGTGTAATGAATATTATCCCAACAGCAATGCAGTTTGCAGTCTGGCTAACCGATTACCGAGAGCTGTGTACAGCCCAAGTGCTGCAGGACAGAAATTCACCAATCGCCATTGCACAGCTGAGCAGACAGAATGCTGTCGCAGTCCCTGCAGCACAGGCAGGTTACCCGTGTGATGTACGTGATACCATCACTCACCCAGCCCTGCAGGCCCTGCAGCAACTCCAGAGATGGGTATCGATCCTAATCTTTTGCTAAGGTTTTACAGGGTCCAGCAGTCATTTGTGCAGCTCCTGGACAGACTGCATACCATGCTCTCCCAACAAGTCAACAATTATGAGGCCAGAACTATTCTGTTGCAGCAGCTTGTTTTCATAAATACAAATGAGAATTGTAGAAAAGCACTGCTTGCTGTTCATAACTCACATACTTGTGACATAGCTGATATGGTTAGAGCATGCCAAGATGTGGGAACTGCTGCTTATAATATTAACTCTCTGGCAGCAGCTTTAGCTGCACACTTCTGGGTTCCAGACAGGCACGCAGGGGTCCGAGCGGGCCGGCCCCAGGACAGGGATTGGGGTGAGCAGGGGTCAGGACAGTCCTGGTGGGTACATTGGTGGTTCTCAGCTCACTGCAGGTGGTCCTCAGCTCCAGGAGCCCCTCAAGCAAGCCTCTGCTGCAGCCCTACCCCCATGGCAGCACAGCCACAGGCACATCAGGGACTGCCAGCCCATCGGGTACAGCAACGTCACACATGGAGCGTGGCACGGTGACAACAGCGCAGCCGGCCCGGTGGCTGCCACCAGAACATTTGTACGGTCCATCCGCCCGGAGCAGCCGCCAGAGCTGCGGCCACTGGCACCACCTGCGAGGCGCAGGGCCGCAGCAGCGGGTGGCGGCTCCCCCAGGGCACGGCCAAGCCCTGCGGATACCAGCGCCACAGGAGCTGCAGGACAGCCGGGGTGAGGTTCTGATTGGCTGGGGGAACGCGTGGCGGTGTATGAGCAGGAAGCTGATTGGATGATAGGATGTGTGGGCAGCGTATGAGCAGGAAGCTGATTGGATGAGAGGACGCGCTGCAGCTGAGCCAGCCAATGGGTGCCTTCTTTCTGTTAAGTGCTGTTAGGTCTCGGTTTAGTTTCGGCTATGTCAGGTAGCGATTAAAGGTGTAAAAAGGGTGCGATTTCTACAATAAACTGATCTCTTTCGGATCCATAAGGCGGTCCGTGTCGCTTGTCCCCCATTGCTACAGCCAACAAACCCAAATGGGTGAGCATGTAACTCTGTAAAGTTTTTAGAGACTGTGTTTTCAAAGCCAAACACTATTTCAGCCTTCAAAAATGTACAAAAAGCACAAAAGCCCCCATGACAAACTACAGGAATTAATGTTTATCTGCATCTCGACAAGCTCTTCTCAGTATCAAACCCAGCACAGAACAAACACCTTGCCTTGTGCAGGGTGTTAGACAGTCTCTAAACAAAATGTTTCATGCCATTTCTCCCAAATCAACAAGGCTCCTGACTTCCCTTCATGGGCTCTTTTAGATTTTAAGACTCTTCTGATTTCAAATTTGAGAATGAAAAGTATCACTCATATCTAGCCTATAAAAATAAAGGACCCACTGTTATAATTTTGTAGGTGTTGTTTTTAAGATTCAAAGACAGCTCTATCTTTCTTCACTCTTTTACTTTCTCTGCTCTCATAAGATACCAATAACAAAAGAAGACAGGAAAATGAAGTGGCATATGAAATCCATAAAAAACATCAACATCAGTGTCCAGGCAATACTTACAGTAATGCAGGAATCTCAGTGAAGAAAACAGGTTTTTGCACCCAAGGTAAAGCTTTCAGGCTGCTAATGTTTCACTGGGTATTTCCTGAAAAATGATTGGAGATAAAATAAAATCACATCCTTGAATTAGACAAATACTGAGGAATCTTAAGATACTTACATTTTCTGGGAATGTAACTGTGAGAGAGGCAAACAAGACTTAAGCTACCAACCATTAGTAACTGTAAAACCCTTGCTAGAGGAGGAACTTTGACTACATGCAGCACACAACTTCACTAAGAGTAAAATCCAATCATTGTCACTGTCAAGACCAAAAAAAAAATTAGGAATCCCTTGCTGAAGCCAGGCTGGAGACAAGGATTCATTGCAGTGTTAAGTCCTATAACCTGTCCCAAAAGGACCAGGGGTGGAGGTATGGATATACCTTGAAATTCTTCTAAGCCATGATTTGAGTTGTGTGTTACAGGAATTGCTATTAGAGGAACCACACGGGACCATCCTCAAGAATCGTCTGTTTTTTTTGAGATAAACTACACTAACATAAACTCAAAGATAAACGCCTTGAGATGACCAAGCCTCAACCTCACTATTTCCTGGGGTGGTCCCACAAATTTGGGATTAAACACAAGTAGAATGGTTATCAATCATTCTTTAGATGTAGCCCATGTGCCAGCTAAAGTCCAGTGAGTTTGTCTTCCATCTGAGGCCCAGCAGCACCCACTAGTTAAAGAGTCCTGGCCCACTTAGAACCCACTAACATGGTGCCCAGCACCACACAGTCCCAACTTGTCGCTATGACCTCGAGTTAGAGATAGGAATGAGACAGACAAGACACTTGTTTCTTTGAGCAGAATAGCTGAATCTTCACTGCACACAGCTCATTTTATATGGTATCAGGAGTGTGAAATAAAAAGTTGTGTTTCGTGTCAGGTAAATAAAGGCAACCTGTGTAATTGTAATTGTGAAATTGGAACATAGCCATGGGACAGTTATAAATATGAGTTCTAATAAACAATCAAGGAAAGCATGCAAGAAAGCTTTTGAACCAATCTTTTATTTGCAAATAACAATTCTAAGTCTTAAGCTGTTTTGCAATAAGAACTTTTAAATTATAACTTTAGAATGTTGCTTAGTATTAAGGATTTTAAACTGTAACTTTAGAATGTATAAAGGATTTGAACAGAAAGGGAAGTGACCCTATCCCAAGCTCCTGGAAAAGGAAGATGGACATCATGATTGCTGATTAATGATTTCAAAAGGTGAAGCTGGACATCACTACCATAGATTAATGATCCCAGAAAATAGAAGCTGGACCCCACCACCTGGACACACATCCTGGGATGTACATCCTAGGATACTGAAATCTGGAATAGATCACAACAGAGTATAGAAATTGGAAAGGAACCAGACATCACCATCATAGATTTACTATCCTAATGTATAGAATTGTGATGTCAAAAGGTAGAAATAGAAACTTCTGAAAGCTCGCGTAAAATCTGGGAAATAGAAACTACTGGGAAAAGCTTATGGATATGCATGAATATGATCAATAAATACCAACAAGTTCAACAATCGGTGTGGAGTTGGATGGGAAAACCCCCACCACTGTATCCAGCGCTGTCTTGGGTTATATGTTACCATATTAATTAATAAATTAATAAATTGAATTTCTGCTTGATATATTGGCTGAGTCAAGCTTCTCATTTCTAACAGAAGGCACCATGTTGGAATCTAATGGGTCAACAAATCATTGATACTCAGTTCATTGCTTGGTAATGGCTAGCATACATGTCCATCAAATTTTTTTCTTTCTAGGTCTGTTTACATTATTTCTTCACAGACTCTCACAGGATAGACTCCTTATTTTTGCGGGTGCAAACTGTTCTCTCACAAAAATAATTCTTATGCAAACTGATTGTCATTCTTATGATTCTTTTCTCATGAGAACTCAACAGGCCAGCTTAGCCAGAATAGCAAGGCCCAAGCCATGTTTTACGAGGCCTTTCTTTTATATGGTTTTACCTATATGTACACCAACTCTTTCCTGCTATGCTTGTTCTGTCATCCTGCCTCCTATCAGCATGCCCTTTGTGTCAGCGTAGTTGAAAACCACCTTAAGCCTGTGCTAAAGGGTCCTGACCCAAGGAATCTTGAAAGCCTCTTTAGCCCCAGGTATTCCCCAGGCACACAGAGCCCCAACACTCGTTTCACCAGCTTTTGCCAACAAACCCCTATGCTGCACCTTTTCCCACCAGGGCTTGAGCAAGGGCCCTAGTGCCCCTTCCATCACTTCATCAGCTGGAAACCCCCCAGCCCTTGGTCACCCAAACTTATCAGACATACAGTTAGCAACCCAAACAGAACCGGATGATCCTTCTCAGGTGCCATGGAGGGTGCACCTTACAGAGACTTCCCATTTGGAGGTAGATGCCACCATCAATGGCATCATCATCTGTGTGTCCTCATGGCAGTCAAAATCTGCCTTCAGTTAATCATAAGGGAGTGGACCACTTCTCTCACCATCTGCAGTAGTCCACAGGTTACAGAAGCCCCTTCAGCCCTTCCCAGGGTCAGTCAAGTGCAAATTCCTTAAGAGCCAGCCAGCCTGAGGATCTGATTTTGAGAGTTCTAACCTCTGCTGTGGAGTAACTCCTATAGAATTCTATTCAGGTCTGCACAGCAGCAGTTTATCAGTGCATGTAGCTGCAGAGCTATGCGCCACAAAAAGCAGCCAAGTAACAGCCTCTGCTGAGTTGAACCTTGCCCACCTGGGGCAGTGACAGAGTTTATATTTATATACCTCTGTGTTACATGCCTTGTTTTTCACATGACCACAGGTACATGTCAGATAAGCAAGATGAAGTAAGCTACCATCAAAAATGGTAACATACAGATTGCTTCAGATAAGCTCTAGATGGTACATCCTTTTACAAGTATTCCACTCCAATAATTTGGCCACTCTTAGTGAGGCCATGCTGCAGATATTTCTAACTAGAAAGGCCTACAAATGCCTACGAGGCATTAACTTTTTTTACTTCCACAGACAGAGCCACTCATAGATCAGACCTTCCATGATGCTCCAGGGAAGGTACAATCTCCTGGTACTTCTGAATCAAACTTCCTCCTACTTTGGGGACTCTGAAAAGCACCTTCCTACCTCCAGTGACCCACCACAGGTAAACACTCTGTGATCCTGCACGTCCCAAAATTCATCATGTCTCTTCTCAGAGCACTGAAAAAATAGTGAGTATTTGCTTGCACCCCTTCCCCTTTTAACAGCCCCAGCCATTCAGCTCACAAGTCCAGTGGGTCCTGGCATCTCACCAGGGCTACTGGAGCAGGACACTCTTCCTCCATGGGGGTAAAGCAGCTTGAACAATACCCTGATTGTAAAAGTTGTCAGTGATGGATGGAGAAGGGGGATCATGCTGCACTTGGTGTAGAACAATGCTGAGACCAGCCTGGTTCAATAATCCCAAAGCTGAACATTCTGAGGATGTGAGGAACAATATTTCCTGGCAGAAACTGGCACAGGTGAGAATGTAACAAAGTTCACCATAAAGCAACAGTAAGTGACAGTATTTTTAATTTACCTGACACTGCTGAGCTAAAGAGTGCTGGGCTGAAGCAGCAGCCCAGAAGCATTTGACTGACAGTGAATTACTATAAAAACCCAGTCTCAATTTTTAACAGCAGAGATTTGTTATGAATACAT